GTGTGTGTGTGTGTGTGTGTGTGTGTGTGTGTGTGTGTGTGTGTGTGTGTGTGTTGGTGGGATGGTTAGAGAGAGACAGGCGAGCACATATGGCACGAACAGTCGGGGATGGAGCTCAGAACTCCCACATGACACAGCAGATAAAAATAAAAAATGGACGAGAGAGGCTCACATGGCAGACAGAGAGAGAGAGAGAGAAGTGCTTTCTGATGTGACATAACACACATCAGTGTCCATGTGGGCATCAGAACGTGTGATGCTCCTGGTCAGCGGCAGAGCAGACCCAGCAGCTCGTTGGACGTCTCTGTTTGGAGAATCAGGAAGTGAAGCTAACATCATGAATCCTGCTCTGAAAACTGGATTTCAACTGAAACTTATTGGAGCTGCAGCTCTGTCACCTGAGTGTGGGTTCTCAGGAACACTCAGACGATGACACACACACACACACACACACACGCCCAACAATTAATCACACTTTAAAAGGACAATCAGAAGTGAATGTTTAATCAGGTTGTGTTCTTATTGTTTCAGCTGTCATTCATCAACAACAGAGGAGAAAAACTTATCATGAAGCAATCTTACATTTTTTAGGAGTTTCCCAATTAGGAAACCATTGTAATACCAGTGATTTGTCATGGTGCTTGTCATGCACAGCTGAGTGTGAGTTTCTCTCTTTCACATTATTTGTTTATTAACTGGTCAGAGCTAATGATGCTAAAAAGATGCTACAATTTTCATCTAACAAAAGCAAAAAACTCACTAAAAGTAGCAAATGTCTAGTTAAAAAAGACTACATGCTAGAGTAGCAAAAAATAGCTAAAAGCTAGAATTAGATAAACACTAGCCAGAGGAATCAAGACTAGCTAAAAGAGGTGGTTAAAAGCAAAAGTAGCAAAAAGCTAAATTTAGTTTAAAAAAAAGCTAAATGCAGCAAAAAGCTTGTCACAATAGCGCAGCACAAAGCTTGTCACAATAGCAAGAAGTTTTGTAAAAGCTTAAGCAGAAAAACGATTGCTAAAGACAAAAATTAGAAACTAAATTTAGTTAAAGCTTAAAAAGGCTAAAAGAAACAAAGGACT